GCCGCACGTCCGGCCCGGGTCCTCCGCCGCTTTGCTCCCCCAGCAGACCAGGGAGACGGGGAGCAGCTTTTCTCGCCCCGGAGAAGGCGGGCGGCGGGACCAGGCGTCCCGCTGCTCCAGTCCTCCGGGGCGAGAAATCCCCATTCGTAACTGTGGATCCGACGTAAGTCAGATCCGCGTAACTCGGGGACTGCCTGTATAGCAGAAGTCTGTATGATGAAAGGCCAGCTACTCTGGGTCTGTGCCATCCAAGGATTTTGCTATGCTGGAAAATACTCAGCTGCCTGGTTAGGATGGCTTTATGGCTTCTAAGCTTCACTGAGCTGGTACAAACAGGCTATAGTATGAACCAGGGTTTTGTCTACATATGATTCAGAAGCAAAGATCTGGATTGAATTCAGAGAGGAATTATGTGCATTTTAGGTAGTATAAAAATTCCTTTACTGAATAAGAATAAAATATGCATTTCTTTGCTCATACTTGAACTCTGAGTTTTGCAAGGACTAATATTGCTCATCCCTTCTGTTATACAAAATCCTTCCTAACAACCCTTCTTTTCTTATAGGCTACGTCTACATTGGCCCCTTCTCCGGAAGAGGCATGTTAATTTCAAACTTCAGAATAGGGGAATCCGTGGGGGATTTAAATATCCCCTGCGGGATTTAAATAAACATAGCCGCCGCTTTTTTTCCGGCTTGGGGAAAAGCCGGAAAAAAGCGTCTAGACTGGCCCGATCCTCCGGAATAAAGCCCGGAGGATCTCTTATTCCTAAAACTTTGAAGTACTGCTCCATTGATGAGGAATTTGACAGTTTCCTACATGTAATTCCAATTTTCCTGTTATTTTTAATTATTGCACTGATTTGGCAGGTTAGCTGTGTGCAGCCATCAGAATTTAATGTATTGGATTTGTTATCTGGGGAGAGCCTCTAAATTGATGTCTAAATTCCGATTCATTCTTGCAGCAAAACCTTTCCAAGAAGAATTGGTCTGGTTTTTCTTACTGGGTGAGTCTGGCTAAGCCCAATGATTCTGATTACAAGGCATGGAACTCCAGGTTATGCTGTAATTATAATCCTTTCAGAATGAAAGCCTCCTAAAAGATCTGTATAGTTTCATGAGCTTGTTACTGCATCAATAGCCCCCGTTTTCCAAGGAGATTGAATTTTGAGGCTAGTTGTAAAAGAGGCTTTTGTTCAAGCACATAGCTAATATCCAGGAACCCCTGAGTTCTAATACCAGTGTCAATGTGGATTTTCTCCATGATTTTGGGTGAGTTATTTAATATCTCTGTCTATTTAGGCTCTTATACAGTGCCCATCATTGTGGCATCTGACCTTCTCAGCTTCCCTGCATTTATGGAACAAGGATAAATGAACTATATCAAATGGCTGCTGTGAAGATTAATTTGTTATTGTTCAATAAAGTTCTTAGAAGACTGAATGAGCTACCTAAGTTAGATAGATTAATATTCTGAGTAGACTCCTCTGGTTGAAAGTGTGAGATAGGACTGTAACATACAGACATGTGAAGATCAAATCCGTAACTCAGGGACAACCAGTGCCTGCTGCCAGTGTGTACTGGAGAAGGGCAGAGTGAGGGTTGCCAGATTCAGCAGTGTTACTGAACTTGCTCAGTCTGTGTGAGCATGCCCAGTACAAGCCACGTAGCAAATCGGGGGGAGGAGAGACATAGGCCTCCATATGCCACTTCCCACTTAGTGCCTCTCTCTTAACTGGATATGTTTATATATTTATATTACATAACTGTGGCATGACTTCAACAGTAGTGTCTGCGCAAAAGCTATCTTGAAAGAAGGCAGCAAGGAATAATTCAGTTTCCATGCAGTCACATTACAAACTGTTGGGAATGCTGGCTTCTAGGTGGGCATTTGAAGGAAGTTTGAGTGGGAGAGTTTCAACATCAGTGTGACTACTCATGTGAGTAGGGAGAGGAGAATGTGGCCCTTAAATTAATTACCTTCATGTCTGTGTTGGCAGATAATGAGGGTTTTTTGTACAGGTGGTAAAAACTATTGCCATTGGAGGGGGCAAATCCACAGACAAATGGAGTAGGGAAGGTGATATAATAATCTTTATATGGCTGCTGAGGTATGTTGAGTGATCTGTCTCAGGTACATATATGACCCCCATCATCATAATACCTAAGAGCATGCCTATACTACAGTAAGATAGCCACAGATGGCCATGCCAGCTGACTTGGGCTCATGAAGCTTGGGGCAAGGGGCTGTAGATGCTTGGGCTCAGACTGGAGCCTGGATTCTATGACCTTGAGAGGTGGGAGGGTCCAAGAGCTCAGGCTGCAGCCTGAGCCCAAACATCTACACTGCAATTAGATGGGCCACCCATGGGTATTTATCCACAGTGCAGATACAAACTAAGAGCCTCACAATCTTTTAATGAATTTATTTACATAGCACTTCTGTGAGGGAGGGAATTACTATTATCCCTATTTTACAATGGGGAGCTGGAGCTCAGAGACCTGGTCTACACTAGGAGATAAGTTCAAATTAAGATACACAACTTCAGCTACCTTAATTGCACACTCTCCCTTCGACTTTCCTTAGTCCTCATGGAAGCAGGACTACTGGCACCAACAGATGCGCCCTCTCAGTTCAAATTAGCATATCTTCACTAGACCCACTAATCTGAACCCCAGAAGATCAACTGTGGCTGCTTCGATCTTATATGTAGTGTAGACATGGCCAGAGAGACTAATGTGTCTTATTCAGGTCACACAAGAAGTCTGTTGTAAAGCAGGGAACTGCATTTGTGTCTCCCATACATCAGACTAGGTCCCTGACCACTTGACCATTAGCTTCAGAGGGGTAGCTGAGTTAGTCTGTAACAGGAAAAACTTAAAAAACAACAAATAGTCTAGTAGCACCTTAAAGAGCTCGTGATACCATCTACATGTTTTGCTAGTCTTTAAGGCTGTGTCTAGACTGCATCCCTTTTCTGTAAAAGGGATGCAAATTAGACACATCGCAATTGCAAATGAAGCGGGGATTTAAATCCCCCCCGCTTAATTTGCATAAACATGGCTGCCGCTTTTTTCTGGCTCGGAGCTTTGCCGGAAAAAAGCGCCAGTCTAGATGGGGATCTTTTGGAAAATAAAGCCTTTTCTGAAAGATCCCTTATTCCTCTTAAAAAAAGTGGGGGGGATTTAAATCCCCACTTCATTTGCAATTGCGATGTGTCTAATTTGCATCCCTTTTACAGAAAAGGGATGCAGTCTAGACACAGCCTTAAAGACTAGCAAAACATGTAGATGGTATCACGAGCTCTTTAAGGTGCTACTAGACTATTTGTTGTTTTTTAAGTTTTTCCTGTTACAGACTAACTCAGCTACCCCTCTGAAGCTAATGGTCAAGTGGTCAGGGACCTAGTCTGATGTATGGGAGACACAAATGCAGTTCCCTGCTTTACAACAGACTTCTTGTGTGACCTGAATAAGACACATTAGTCTCTCTGGCCATGTCTACACTACATATAAGATCGAAGCAGCCACAGTTGATCTTCTGGGGTTCAGATTAGTGGGTCTAGTGAAGATATGCTAATTTGAACTGAGAGGGCGCATCTGTTGGTGCCAGTAGTCCTGCTTCCATGAGGACTAAGGAAAGTCGAAGGGAGAGTGTGCAATTAAGGTAGCTGAAGTTGTGTATCTTAATTTGAACTTATCTCCTAGTGTAGACCAGGTCTCTGAGCTCCAGCTCCCCATTGTAAAATAGGGATAATAGTAATTCCCTCCCTCACAGAAGTGCTATGTAAATAAATTCATTAAAAGATTGTGAGGCTCTTAGTTTGTATCTGCACTGTGGATAAATACCCATGGGTGGCCCATCTAATTGCAGTGTAGATGTTTGGGCTCAGGCTGCAGCCTGAGCTCTTGGACCCTCCCACCTCTCAAGGTCATAGAATCCAGGCTCCAGTCTGAGCCCAAGCATCTACAGCCCCTTGCCCCAAGCTTCATGAGCCCAAGTCAGCTGGCATGGCCATCTGTGGCTATCTTACTGTAGTATAGGCATGCTCTTAGGTATTATGATGATGGGGGTCATATATGTACCTGAGACAGATCACTCAACATACCTCAGCAGCCATATAAAGATTATTATATCACCTTCCCTACTCCATTTGTCTGTGGATTTGCCCCCTCCAATGGCAATAGTTTTTACCACCTGTACAAAAAACCCTCATTATCTGCCAACACAGACATGAAGGTAATTAATTTAAGGGCCACATTCTCCTCTCCCTACTCACATGAGTAGTCACACTGATGTTGAAACTCTCCCACTCAAACTTCCTTCAAATGCCCACCTAGAAGCCAGCATTCCCAACAGTTTGTAATGTGACTGCATGGAAACTGAATTATTCCTTGCTGCCTTCTTTCAAGATAGCTTTTGCGCAGACACTACTGTTGAAGTCATGCCACAGTTATGTAATATAAATATATAAACATATCCAGTTAAGAGAGAGGCACTAAGTGGGAAGTGGCATATGGAGGCCTATGTCTCTCCTCCCCCCGATTTGCTACGTGGCTTGTACTGGGCATGCTCACACAGACTGACTATTTGTTGTTTTATAAGTTTTCACTTGATCCTTTCTCCTTATTGTAGTTTACTACTTGACAAGAGTGGGATGATATGGAAAAGACTTACCAAAGCTTTATTTCCCTCTTTAACTGTAATCCAGTCTTCTCCATTGGAGCTGATATCTACTCGGTATGATTTCACATAATACTTTTTCTTAGTTTCCTTTGAGATGGCTCCTTGGGTCCCAATGCCAGAGACAAATCGGAGAAGGCCTAGGTCTACCTGTAATAACACATAAGGAGATGTGGACAATCTGTTTAGAGTGTAATAATGTTATAATAGTAGAGAAATGCCTTGTTTCTAAAGGAGCACAAAGGGTTAATAAAAAAAAGAAGTATCGCTCTGTTCCGTGACTGTGCATCACTTTATTCCTAAACTGTGTTACGATAGTATGTGAAAGCATCTACCTTTTCAGTCAAGAAGAACAGACATATACTAAAAGTTCTCTTCTGTATAGGAGAGGCACTTGAGACTCCCATGAACTTTCATGCTCTAGGAACTATTATTTATTATTGTAATGCCCAGGAGCCTCACTGCTGATCTAGGACCCCCTTGTGCTAGATATTGCATACAGAACAAAAAGACAGTACTTTATAACTTATTTGTGAAAGTCCTTGGTAAATATCTCTGTTCTGACAAACACAGAGCAGTTCAATCCTTAGTAGAGCCATGTGTGGATACAAATTTATACCCAAAGCTGTGGATATCTGTAGATATAAATTACTATTCACAGAACCGAGGGCTTTCCTGAGAACAACGGCAGCAAAAGGTGTAGAATGGGAGGCTGCCACCCCCAAGAACCAGCACCCAATGCTGGCAGCTCCTCTAGCACAGCTGTACTGACCCCTGCCCTGACCAGTCACCAGGCTCACTGTCAGCTGTCCTTGGCTGTGCTCTTGTGTTCAAGTGGCACACATGTCCACAGACAGAAGATGCAGACAGCTGCATGGAAGGGCTGGGGCAGGCTAGGACTGGGGCTGCAGGCAATACAGTTGCACTTCAGGAACTGGTTTTGCTACAGAGAAGGCAAAATCACTCCCATTGCTACAATAAGGGTCTATACTGAAGCGCTGCAGCTGTGCAACTAGCATTTTAATTGTAGATATACTCATACTGACACTTTCCAGACTGCTGGGGAAATGAATGTTGTTCTACATTCATTTCTATGGAGTATATATTTATGTTGTATGTTAGATGCATTCTCACTCCATCCTTCATACAAACAGACAGCAGACAAAAGTTTGAGGGCAACCAAGATGCTTTCTAATAAGTAGGTCGATAATCATAGCATCATAACTTTTATTCCTTCCTTATTTTCTGCCTTTGTACAAAATAATAAAATGTGCCAATTATAATAGAGTTTATTAACCTGCCTTCAAAAAAATCTGGAATCTAGCTTTTGCCTCTTATAACAATTTAATTCATTTCAATATAAGAAAAATAATTATTCACAAAATATTAGCCCTGCTAATTTACTCCCTTAAAAGGAATGAAAGACTAGGAACTTCGCTATTTCTACTGATTGTATGTAGAGTGCCCAGATACAACAGTGATGGGCAGCACTATAAAACCATAAGGTAGACAGATTTATAACAGTTATATGAGTCTTTAGTTCTGTAGGAGTGAGATTGGTATAATTATATTCTTAGTCAACATATGTCACTAAAACTTAAAAATGTCATTGCAAAAGCAAAAAAAAAGCTGTCTCATATATTGCGTTAATACAACTATTATTAAGGAATAAATTGTTTGAATATTTGGTTCCTGAAGAAATCCTTATTGAACCCCTCAGCTCACCTACAGACTATCCTAGTGCCCAACCATTAATAGGTTGAATTAACTCTTTTTGTGCTAATGTCCCATGCATTTCTCAGGCATTTTCTTCATTTTCAAAGTATGCAATATGCAGAATGTCTGTCTCCAGTGTCCCACAATCATTCTTTTTCCTGGATGTATGTCAGACACCCAAAGGCACCGTAATGGTTAAGTCAATACGCTTTGCATTCTTTCTCAGATAACTGTAGGAAGTGTTATTCAGGACAGGGTGGCTGCTGTTTCAATTTCCATGTAATATGTAAGTAAGAAAAGAACAATAGCCCTGTGTGGAAAGGATAGTGCTGGCTTTCAGTGCAAAACTCTTGTCTCTGACATGGTTTTAAGGCTCGTAATACCAATATTGCATTTTAGCTTGATAAATCAAAAAAATTCCTTGCATCTGAATTTCTATGGATGAAATGTGGCAAAGATTTTTATTTGCAATAGTAAAAAATCTCTCTCTCTAAAAAAAAAATCCAACACTGCCTTATAAAACAATCAAGTGATTTAAAGTTACTGGAGAGCCTCAAATATTAGATTGCTACAATCTGAAAGTTCATGGGGGAGTCTGGGTATCATTGCACAGAGCAATCTCAACTTAACTTGAAATGCTCTCAAAATTGTACTCTGCTGATTGTAAAGTGTGCTGCACGGAGTCATGTCCAATATCGCATTCACTTCTAGGCTGAAGTGCACTTGAAAATCTGGAAGTCTGAGGGAGTGTAGTGCTGAGTTATTTAAATGAACAGCTTCTCTTAAAATTTCCAACAGCTCTTCAGGTTTGAAATGATTAGGGTCCTAAGCATGTACAGTTCCAACTGATTTGAAATAGTTTTTTTTAACATACGGTTAGTAATTCATTTTGAATGAAGTCAAGAGACAGTATGAGTACTAGATATTTGAAGCCAAGCTAAAACTTATCATCAGAAGCTAAGTGAAATGTTTGACCAGTTGACCCTATGGCAAATTATTGCCATCAAACCAGACCTTCAAAACCATATTTATGAATCCATACTAACTGAGGTGATAGCAATATAAAAAGGTGGAAGCAACCTTGGAAACGGCATAGGATGTCCTCCTGCGCTTTTAAACTCCTGTTCACTGAATACTCATACTAATCACTTTGAAATATCTAGCACTGTGGTTTTTTTCTTATATTTATTAAGGCTGAAACTTTAAAACCTGGTTAGAAAAGGGCCCTATGGGTGAAATTCACCTCTGTGAACATGGCTTAAAAGTTGCATAGTCTTCTGGAGAGGGATGAATTTCAACCCATATCCAAATTCCTACTAACCAGTGGCAACTGAAGATACCAAAAGGATAACTCTGGTCAGACACAGATGGTCAGAGTTAAAATTTCCAGAAGAATCATCTCCTACTTCAAGGACAGTTGTGTCATCATTTCATTAGATGTTCTTATACTTGTGGGCTACGTCTAGACTGGCATGATTTTCCGGAAATGCTTTTAACGGAAAAGTTTTGCGCAAAAGGGACTTTTGCCCGAACGGGAGCAGCATAGTGTTTCCGCAAAAAGCACTAATTTCTTACAGTAGGAAGTCAGTGCTTTTGCGGAAATTCAAGAGGCCAGTGTAGACAGCTGGCAAGTTTTTCCGGAAAAGCAGCTGATTTTCTGGAAAAACTGGCCAGTCTAGACACAGCCTTGGGGTTGTGCTTATAAGAACAACATTTTCCAGTGGGGTCTGTGTATAACAGTATGCTAGCTTTTCTGCAAAGACTTTCAAACATTAATGTACAGATATTGCTCATTTTTCTCTAACTCAATCAGCCCATCTCCATTTGTGATAGATTATATGACAGCTGGCTTTTTGTTTTATACTACTAGTATTTTTGTACATTGGTTTGAAGAACTTCTGTTTCACGTTAATTTGAACTGTGGAGGGATGTGGTGATGAAAGACTGTACATCTAAGCTTGAACATCAAATGCATTCACTACAATTATTTGATATTTCACTCAGTGTGTGATAAACATCTGGTATTTATATTCTGAGATGCAAACTATTGTGTAGAAGTTTGTTGTACTTTGTGTGGCTGAGTAGCTGTTATCTGAGCTAGCCTATACAATCCACAATACTGACATCATGACATGTCACTTCCAATACCAGGATTTTAGTTTTGCTTATAGTATCTCAATCGTTCTCTTCTTGAGTCTTCCCCTGCCTTCACTCAGATGAAAACTTTTATCCCTTATCAAAAATGATGCATTAGGACCTGATCCCATGTACTCTGCCTATGGTGTTACATATTACAATGAGATAACTTATGTTTGTAAGCACTACACTTGGTAGCAAATGTATACAGGATTGGGCCTTTAGCCTGTATGAAATAAAGAAAATCAAATATATCATTTTTTCTTGGAGAGGAATGTTCCTATCAAAGGAAAAGAGTTGTTCTTGCTTACTGCATCAGAATTCTTTAAGCAATTCCTGCCCTGTGAAAGCATATAGAAAAATGCTAACCATTTCCATGTATGAAATATTGCCTCACCATTTATTCTGCAATGCCTCTTAGCATCCAGTAAAAATACTTTTTATAACTGCACTATTGTCTGATGAACTATAGGAGACACATTTCTAAGATGTAGATACGCAAAGTTCTGCCCATATATTTTATTCAAACCACTTAAGGGGGAAAACAAAGAAGCATATGTAGCAGAGTGCGGTAAATCGTGTAGCAAATCTCTGCAAACTGCTAGTTAAACAACAGTATGTACCTTATAAGCCATGAAAGGAATATTACTGCTTCCTATAATTACACATAATCATGTCGTAATAAGGAAGGCCTTATTTTCAATATGAAAATCTGCTTTTCTCAATAAAATACACTCCAGTGAGCCAGTCATGGCAAGAAACTGGTTGTTACCAGCTTTACCACCCTTAATGTAGGCCTGGGCAACAGCCTGAGAAAATAAAGGACAAAGGGGTTGAGTCTGATTAACAACAGGAATATTTTTATTGTGACCATCTCTAGTGGCTAGAAAAGCTGTATAATTCATCACTCGACCCTACATACCAAAATAAATATTTTTAGAGAATCGTGTCGTTTCCATAGATAACATGCATGACTCTCAGAGTCATACTAACAATTGTGATACTTCATTAGCCTATCAACTGCTCTAATTATGCAAGGGTTAATCAGTATTGTCTTTCATTAGAAAAATCTTTTTTTAGCAGTTATTGATTTGACTGATCCCTTTGGCCCCTGCTGTGTATAGAACTATTATTCAATTATTTATTTACTGATATTTAAGTCACATGGTGACAAGTCTCAGGGGGGGAGTTGTGTTAGTCAGTATCTGCAAAAACAACAAGGAGTCCTGTGTCACCTCAATGACTAACAGATCTGATCTATCTATCTGCCTGTCTGTCCCTCCATCTGTATGTCTATC